TCTTATTTTTTTTATAACTATAATGATCATATGAAGGTGTGCCGCGGAAATAATCTTTTGAATAATTTGTGACCAAACCGTTTGAGACCCACTGAGATAACTTAGACTAAAGTTATGTATCTAAACACTCAGAGAGTCCTTTAGCTCACCTGAGTCTCTCAGTCTGAGAGGAGAGGACTCTCCTCCAGCTTGTTGTGGAACAAACAGCTCCTTATGTCCGTTAGTGCAGCTAGCTAACCAGATGCTAACAACACGTCCCTGCTGGCAGCGGTCCCTCCCCCTCTCTCCCTCTCTCTCTCTCTATCACACTAAATGCGCTATTGCCACACACACACACAGAGCCGAGCTTGAATGACACAAGCACACGTTTATTTCCATGCAACTCTCTGATTGTTCTGGTGTCATGCCTCTGTTGCATTCACTGAACACGGGAAATTACAGTGTTGCCGTCCTCTCTTGTGTCATGATGAGGTTCACGTAAAGCACGGTTAATGTATTATATTATTGAGGGAGAATTGTCCGGGGCTACAGAAAAAACATTCGGGGCTAAAGCCCCGGATGCCCAGGCCAGGCGACGCCACTGAGTGAAGAAGCAACATTCATATCCCCGTGTATTCACACAACTTGAAAAGTTACAACTTGAGTGTAAAGTTTGTGACGCTCTGTTACAAAAACAGTGTTGAGATTCTGCTCCTGTCGTCACTGACATGCTGAGATAAATCAGAAGAGGGAACATCAGCACCCAGAGCTCTACAGCACCTCATATTAAATCAGGGTTATTCATGTACCTGGATAAACCAGAGACTGTCTGTGGTGCTAACAATATAATAGCTGCTGTTCTAATGACTGGATGGAGTTATTTTGAGTGTTGATGGATCAGCTACAATGTTAGCCTAGCCTAGCTTTAATCAAAGCTATCTCCATTCAGAAAACAAACATTTTAAAGTGTTTTGCTCGTTGTGTTACAGACAGACCTGACGAAGCATTAACTCAAATCAATATCATTATGTTGTTATTTTGGCATCCTTTCCATATGTTTATTGCATTAATTAACAGGAAATTCAATGTAAATTGGGTTCAAAGTGCTAAAGTGTACCAGATGAATTCAGCTGATGTTATGAATCCAGACACAAAGCTGCATGTGGTTTCCTAATGATATGAATAACTAATCACTATCTACCTTATCATGATGAAATATAATCTAATTATATTTAAATATGAAACTAGAATTTGCCACATTGTTGTACCTTTGGTGAGAATCAGCTCCACTAATGTAAAGTGCTGTAAAGGATGTGTTCATCTCCACAGAGGGAAGAGGAAGAGTGGTGTTCCTGTGGAGCAGCAGCTGTCCAGCTGTGCTCTGTGTCAGGACGTCCTGAAGGATCCAGTCTCTACCAGCTGTGGACACTGGTTCTGCAGAGAGTGCATCGCCTCATACTGGGAGCAGCTTCCTCCATCAGGAGACTCCTGCTGTCCTCAGTGTGGAGAAAGATGGAGCATTTTACAAAGTAAGAGGCCGAACACGTGCAGCCTCTTTACCGCTGTCTAGGTGCTGGGTGTCTACTCTTCTATAGAAACACTGTATCATCTGATCCCTTCTTCAAGGCTTTGGTTTTAAAGTGTGTACACAAATATTTCACGTGGGACAGCAGTGTTTGCCTAAAAAACACTTTTTGTTTTACTCAGACATTACTACCTTAGCCCAGCACTTATATAACATTTACGTATGATAGTATAAATATCTGGCAACTAGTATTTGTGGTTCCTTCTGGAGTCTTCATGTCCAGGATTTGTTGTGTTGTAAAGTATAGACATTAAAATGTTTTATACAAATCATGACATTTAAAACCCTGACTGTTCAGATTCTCAAAAGCATTTTCCTGATTCTCTCATGTTTCCTTCTCTTTCAGCACATAGTGGTCTGCAGGAGGTTTTAGATGAACATAGGCTCAGTCTGAGGAGGAGATGTGAACGTGTGACTGAAGGAACTGATCAAAGTGAAACCCTCCTCAACAGGATCTTCACTGAGCTCTACATCACACAAGGCCAGAGTGAAGAGGTTAATACCCAACATGAGGTGAGGCAGCTGGAGACAGCTTCCAAGAAAGAGACCCTCCATGACACTCCAATCAAGTGCCAGGACATCTTCAAAGCCTTACCTGACCAACAGACTCTCATCAGAGCGGTCCTGACCAACGGAGTCGCTGGAGTTGGAAAAACCTTCTCAGTGCAGAAGTTCACTCTGGACTGGGCCGAGGGTTTGGAAAACCAAGATGTCAGTCTGGTGATCCCACTCTCCTTCAGGGAGCTGAACCTGATCAAAGGTGAGCAGTACAGTCTTCTCAGGCTGCTCCATGTTTTTCATCCAACCTTACAGAAGGTCACAGCAGAGCAGCTGGCTGTCTGTAAAGTGCTGCTCATCTTTGACGGCCTGGATGAAAGCAGACTTTCTCTGGACTTCAGAAACAATGAGGTTGTGTCTGATGTCTCTCAGAAGTCCTCAGTCAACGTGCTGCTGACAAACCTCATCAGGGGGAAGCTGCTTCCCTCGGCTCTCATCTGGATAACTTCCCGACCTGCAGCGGCCAATCAGATCCCTCCTGAGTGTGTGGACAGGGTAACAGAAGTACGAGGCTTCACTGACGCCCAGAAGGAGGAGTACTTCAGGAGGAGATGGAGTGATGAAGACCTGTCCAGCAGAATCATCTCTCACATCAAGAGCTCCAGGAGCCTCTACATCATGTGTCTGATCCCAGTCTTCTGCTGGATCACTGCTGCAGTTCTGGACCACATGTTGACTACAGACCAGAGAGGAGAGCTGCCCCAGACCCTCACTGACATGTACGCACACTTCCTGCTGGTCCAGACCAAGAGGAAGAAGCAGAAGTATGAAGCGGGACATGAGACGAGTCCACAGCAGCTGACGAAGGCGGACAGGGAGGTTCTTCTGAAGCTGGGGAGGCTGGCGTTTGAACATCTGGAGAAAGGAGACATCATGTTCTACAAAGAAGACCTGCAGCGCTGTGGTCTTGGTGTCACCGAGGCCTTGGTGCACTCAGGAGTTTGCACAGAGATCTTCAAAAGAGAGAGTTTGATCTTTGAGAAAACAGTCTACTGCTTTGTTCATCTGAGCATTCAGGAGTTTCTGGCTGCAGTCTACTTGTTCCACTGTTACACCAGCAGAGACACAGAGGTACTGCAGGACTTCCTGCAGGGAGACGGGGACGAAGACAACAGTGATAGCAGTGATGATAACAGTGATAGCAGTGATCAGGGTTACCCATCCCTGGATGTCTTCCTGAAGGGAGCCATGGAGAAATCCCTCAGAAGTGAAAATGGCCACCTGGACCTGTTTGTCCGCTTTCTCCACGGCCTCTCTCTGGAGTCCAACCAGAGACTGTTAGGAGGCCTGCTGGGTCGCACAGACAACCGTCCAGAAATCATCCAGAGAGCCATCAACAACCTGAAGGAGATGAGAAGTTCTTCCTCTCCTGACAGGAGCATCAACATCTTCCACTGTCTGACAGAGATGAAGGACCACTCAGTATATCAGGAGATCACAGAGTTCCTGAAGTCAGGGAACAGATCAGAGAAGGGACTCTCTGAGATCCACTGCTCTGCTCTGGCCTACATGCTGCAGATGTCAGAGGAGGTTCTGGATGAGTTGGACCTGGGGAAGTACAACACATCAAAGGAGGGACGACGAAGACTGATTCCAGCTGTGAGGAACTGCAGGAAGGCCAAGTAAGTCCAGATGTGATTAGCTTTATAAATGGATGTGGATCAGAAGTTTATTTCTTCAAATAAACACTATAAAATGTTTCATGTTAAATACTATTATCCAGTTATTCTATTTATATATTGTGACATTTTAACATTTTTTTCTTTTCTTCACATGATTTTGAGTGATGGAGGCGACATGTCAAACAAATGAAGGACTTTAGAGGTTTTATCAGAGCAGCATGTGATCACAACATACAGCAGTATTTACAGTTATCGTTGAAAGCAGTTATTAATATATCATTGCAGTTTCTTAAACATGAAATCAGATCTGTTTTTACCACAATGCTTAAGAGTTTAAAATAATGTCTGACAGGCTGACAATGAATATAGAAAACTCTATTATTAAATTAAATGTTCATAATATGTTAAAAGTTGTTCCACTTCAAATTCAGTAAGTTAATTAAATGTTTCCTCTGTTTTTATACTAACACAAGTTGTGATATATGTGTCATTATAGACTTTCTGACTGTGGACTCTCAGAGACTGAATGTGAAGTCGTGGCCTCAGCTCTGAAGTCTGACCCCTCTCACCTGAGAGATCTGGACCTGAGTAAGAACTATCTGAAGGATTCAGAAGTGGAGATGCTGAGTTCTGGACTAAAGAGTCCAAACTGCAGACTGGAGGCTCTCAGGTCAGTTCACTGACTGCAGTTCATACAGATCTGTTTGTATTTATGATTTTCAGAATTTGCCTGAAGATATTTTAATGCTTTTATTTTTTTCTGTATTTCCAAATGGAAATGGAATCCAAACTTTAAGAATAACAAAGATCAGAGAAGGTGAATGTGTGACGGAGAGTGTTTGAGCTTCCACATACTCACTCTGTGCTCCATGAGTCAGTGGAGATGCTGTCAGTACTGATGAGCTGTGAGGGAGATGAAGGAGTTGTTAAACATCTGATGAGAGAAACTGCTGCAGAGAGTTCCAGATGATCAGGGATTTGTTTCTACATCATTGCTGACGTTAAAACATTGTTCAGCTCTGATCAGATTATTAAAACATTGAGTTATTTCAAACAGGAACATTGTTTTCTAAAGTTACATCATGTTTTCTTTATTCAGACTGAGGGGCTGCAGTTTGTCAGAGATCAGCTGGGCTGCTCTGATCTCAGCTCTGAAGTCCAACATCCATCTGAGAGATCTGGACCTGAGTTTCAACGCTCTGCAGGATTCAGATGTGAAGCTGCTGAGAGATCTTCTGGAGAGCCCAGACTGCAGACTGGAGACTCTCGGGTCAGTTCACTGACTCTCTGTTACTGCTGGAGATCTCATGTGTTTCATTAACAGTTGAACCTAATGCTTGAACAATCATACATGTGTATAAGTCGTTGTGAGGGTTTTCCTGCTAACCCAGTTAAAAAGGACAGAAGGAGAGGAAGGCTTGCTTAAAAGAAAGCGTTATTGACTGGCCACAGCTTGCAAACAATACATCAATACTTTAGGAAACAGACAGAACACTGCTGCCAGTGACAGGCTTTCTCGGGGCAAGTCATTCTGCCCCCAGGATCCAGACCAAGAGACAAGAACCAGGGTTGCATTCGAATAGTCCATTTAGCTTAGGAACCTTCCTAACGGAGTGAAATGACCCGGAAGTCCCTCAGTGGCAGCCATGATAAGTGCCGTTCGAATTCTCTAAATTAAAAGGAAAGGAGGTTTCAAACTTCCTTTATAACCTCCTTTAGCCTAGGAACCACTGGACCTCCCTAACCGAAAGGAGAGGAGAAAATGCTGCCCCACAATGCCTTGCGGCCGCAGCATTTGCCGTCACACAACAGTCGGCCGTTCACGGAAACAACCGATTATGAACGAGAAATGATATCATGAAAGTTACGGTGCTTATTAAGCATTTTAAGACGTATGTGGTAAGTTGCCAAAGTGCTTTGTTTTGAACGTTCATCCGTATTATAATCAAAAAGAGAAATATGAACGTTAGTTTTTACTGAAATGATCAAATAAAGTCAACATTTCAGTCTTTACTGAGCTGTGTGGGGTTTGTTCAACTTTTAAAAGATGTTTGAATGGTGATATACACAGTGATAGATGTTAAGGACTAACGTTTATAATAAATACATTTGTATTGATTTTAAGATCTTTTCATACAATCATATGTATTGGGATCATTTGTATTAATGTGGACCGGAGGGAGAGGGTGACGAGCATAAGTTTCACTTTCCTTTTTTATTTCAATTCCAACTTTGGTCATGAAGAATATGTTTCTCTGTTGTCCCCGTTCATAAAGCATAAAACAACAGCACCAGAGCACGGTGCAGAGTCTCTAGATGAGTTTACAGTAGTCCCTCGTTCTTATTAAACATCCATGTTGTAGTCCGCTGTATAGAAAACTGTAGTTTCCATAGTTTCCCCACAGCAGCAGGCGCACATTTATGACCTCTGCTGGCGCATCATAAACACGTCGGATAGTGAAAGTGCAGTCGGATTCTCTAAAGTGCTGCAGTCTCTTCTCCTAAATCCTTTTGAATTCTCCTATCCACTATCCCTTAACCCCATGATGTTTCACTCCGAGGTCAAGGAATAGACGATAGGGTTAGAACTTAGGAGCTGTTTTTTTGGAGTATTCGAACGCAACCCAGGTCACTGACATGCTTTACTGTTCACCTCGTTACCTGATCCTTGTCCAGCTGTCTGGAGCCACCCCCATCCCTCCAGCAGCCGGCGCTCTAACCACACCCTACTGCCACAGTCCTTTTGTTCATATTCTTATTTTTCTTGTACTACAGATGAAGCGTCTTATTTTGGACAGTTTAAAATGCGAGGGTCGTGATCGGTTCGTGCACGTTCCGTGATGGCCGGCCGGCCCCCAGTCTGACTTGATACCGCCCCCGTGATAAATAAATGTAATTATTGTGAAGCCAGCTGCAATGGATCATTGATCCACCAGGGGGTGCAGTGGGGTTCCACACTGGAGTCATGTGTGGAGTCTTGTACAGTATGTCTGGTACTAATGTATAGCGGATCTTTGTTAAGATCCATATGTCACGGATAGGATCATAGTCTGTGCTAAATAAGACATGTAATCATTTACAAAACATCACCATGTTGTTATTTAACAAAATAATGTTGTTTAGTCGAAAAAAACGAACAGCAGCCGGCTCTCGATTTTTAATCCTAATTTAATCGTTTATGTTCGCCGAATTGACATGAAATCACTGACAAATATGAATATACTGTATTCAACTTCATTAAAATGTTATTAACGTGCCTAAACTCAGTAATTCACTAAAAATTACTGATCCCTCCGCGTCGCATCGCGGAGGGATCTTGATCCCTGGGTGTTATTTTTCCCCATAATGACCAAGTCGCTGCAAATTATCCCGCTTATTACATGGCCACATTCTCAACAAAGTAACGACATGACTCCCAATATTAATTAAAATGCTTTTATGGATTTAGAAAATATTTTTATTGATTTAAAAAATAGTTGTATGTATTGATTTAAATTTACATGCATCCGCTAAGAAAAATAGTCCGTTGTTACCGTTTTTTAAACAGTCAGAATGAAACGGCAGCTCTCAGCTGTTTACACTCCTAATGGCCCATCACAGCTCTCTCCTCCCCTGATCTTTCTTTTCCAACAGTTAAGTTAACTGTAGGTTACTCTGAGTGACAAGCTTACAGTTAGTGAAGTAACACTTTTTTTTTGTGAGTCACGACCTCGCTGTTTCATTCTAACATAACGCTCCAAATATGACTGTTTCCACTCGGACTTCAATACAGCAACACCATTGTTTGGTTTCCATGGTAGCGTGTCTCTTTAGTAGCGTGCACTCCTTTCCTGTAAATTACAGGTCCAGCCAGGCAAAACAGTAATATGAAATATGAACGTTAGTTTTTAACTGAAATGATCAAATAAAGTCAAAATGTCACAGTGTTTACAAACATTGACCATACCGTTCACCAGCCCCCACCCCACTATGTTGAGTATAGCCTACTCTTTGTTTAAAACGAATTGGCCATCGGAATGTGTGTGTCCCAACCCCCCCCCCTGTGATATCTCTTCTCCAGCAGTCTGTAGTTTGTGTTCGCAGATCATCACCCTTAGCTATTTCAATTACCTCTCAAACAACCTAAACTAGTTATAAATGTTTATTTTAAATAAAGTATGTTTCTTCACATGTTAGGTCTATATTGAAGGTTCATTGAAAGTAAAGCTTACTTTGGTTCTTGTGCTCTAGTTCTTCAAGGAATCTTACTGAGAACGTTATGTTTCCTCTGACTGCTTATGCCAAAAGCAACGACAAATTATCTGTTTTAAATACCTTTTTAGACCGTAAACTTTAGAATGAAATGTAATACCGGTTAGTTTTTTGTGTTCATACTGACAGAAGAAGAAATAAATTAAGTATGAATGAGAATAAGACTTATGTAATGTATTGACATTTGATCAGTATAAATGTATTACTAACTTTATCCACTGTGGTACCGAAGCTTGGATCACCGCCAAAGACATGGCCGAGGGCAGCTGGCAGCTTTCAATATTTTTCATGTGCGATTCTAACGCTTTCAGAAAGTGAAACATACAGCATCATTTGAGAAAAATAAATCAAAATAAGCATTATAAATGAACCCTGACTACTTGTGTTTAGGACTCACTGTATTTTGGTACTCTCTAGGTCTGTGGGCCAAATCCGGCCCCCGACTTCATTTGATTTGGCCCGCAAGAGCTTCAAAACATATAATATGTTTATTATACGGTTTCATGCCACTTTACAGAAGCACAATGTCCATAAACTACATGTACCACAATGCATCTTGTGACATGCGCACTGAAGAGACTTGCAATTATTTGAAATGATTTGCTCTAAACTTCTGCTCTCAGACATAGTTAATTATGAAGTTATTACCTTATCCGATAATAATCCAATGCAGAGGCAATAATGTTATATAAAACATTATTTATATATATAGTCTTAAAGTTACAACCGGCCCTTTGAGTGCAACCTTAATGCTGATGTGGCCCGCGATGAAATTGAGTTTGACACCCCCTGCTCTAGGTAATGGAAATGTGAACATGGAGGTGTAAAGATGCGGTTGCAGGTCAACACAAGACAACACATTAACTATTTAAATGGTCATAAGACATACACTGAGCACTTCCTTGGCATCAAGGTAATCACTAGAGAGAATACATTTGTGGAATAATAATCTTTTCTAATACTGTGGACATGAAATATGTTGCGAACACAACAGTGGGGAGCCTTTGTTGCAGTCGCCTCAAAAGACAGAAAAGAGGGAGCCATGCGCCAGTCTTTGAAGCTGTCAATCTCTTCTGTCAAAGACCATTGCAAGACTATTTATGTTTGGATTCTCACTTGAGGAATCTTAACCTGAGCCCCAATAAATTGTCTATAAATAGATTCCCAACTTCTCAGTTGTATTAAAAATGAATAAGGCCATCTTCACGAAAAGTTCAAAAGCAGCCCCTTGCCACTCTTGCCAGAAGTGAATCACAGTGATCTGCTATTTTAAAGTAAATTCAACACATATCGACCCTAAATATAGCATATATTAAGAACGAGAAAGTGTTAACATCGTTTTTTGTAAACATATGACCAATGTGCGAGGGTGATGACATCAGAGCATCGTCCTATGGGCTTAGCCCCGGACAGGTACAACAGGTATTCACTCATGCCCCTTTCACACCAACGCAAGCTCCGTGCTAGAGCTTTTCTGGTTCAGAACCGGTTCTTCGGTTTAGCGCCGGCTCTTTTCACACCGCTCAGAGCCCGACTGGTGCTGCCGCTGCTGCGTCATGACGTCACAGTTTACGTCGCTGAGTTTCTCCCCAACGCCGGAGCTCACCTCACAACAACAACGGGCCGGGGACTGCGTTGCTTTTAATCATACGAAGCCAGATTAAATTAAATAACGACTTCTCCAACCTTATACTTTTCTCCAGAGTGCCGTGGTTCATTGTTTATTAATGTGTTTCAGCGGCATTTACCGACCGCTGCAGTGCTGGCCGGCTGCTCTTCAACGGGAGTGTATTCTCCCGTTAGCTCCGGGTTAGCTCACACGGCTCTAAAGTATTCACTGTCTGACTGTCACACAAGCAGCTGTTACATATCCCCAGTTCCCCTTAAGTGAATGTGTGTCAGTCTGAATTGACGCTGTTTGGTGTCAGTCTGAATTGACGCCGTTTGGCATCACAACGCTGTTATGAAAGTTTCTCTGGTATAACATGGGTGATGTTAGCATAGCAACCGAAGCTAAACTGACTACTTGCTAAGCAGTTTTCTACAGGCACTTTTTACCGACGTATTTTTCATTATGATTCTACTTGTGATAGTCAGACATGACAACCTGTGCAGCCCATGTATTGATTCCATCCGATAGCTGCTATAATAACAAACAAAACGTCTGCCTGCTCTCCACAATGATCAATAACAGCGAACGGATGGTCAAAGTAAGGTACAAATAAACAGAATCACACGAAGCCTGGTTAGTGTTGCCTGACTTTATAAAGTGTGTTTTTTTTAACAAGTGTGTGGTTGCGTTCTAGTCACTTTGCTCAGCACTACTGCTTGTTACAACTTTTATTTGCCGTACTCGCCTTAAGTGTTAGCTCAGGTTAATCTCGCCCCCCTCCGACGTAAGCGTGACGTATGCGGTTCTTGCTTCTAGACGGACAACTTTTTGGTGCTCGAAACGAACCGGATTCCGGAGCTTAGAGGCTGCTCCGCTGCGGTGTGAACAGGAAAACCCGGTGCTTTTCAAGCACCAGCACCGAACCGGTCCTGAAACACCGTTGGTGTGAAAGGGGTATCAGAGGGGGGTAGTTATCCATTTACATGTCAAAAAGCAACATACAGTAGGCGGGTGGGGGATGGTGAACGTTTACATTTCTCTACAGAATACATTTAATTTAAGGGGAGCAGTTACTGAGAAGTATATAATGAGAACTGCTACCAATGGTGGCCTGTTTAGTTTATTAAGAAATACATATTTGTAGCTTTTTTTTTATCTGCAGTAGGAAATGCAGAGAGTAGCGACAGGGCTGGTCCAACCTGATCTGTAAAGTGATCTAACTAAGTGCTATTCAACGGACCCATATTATTCATATTCCGAGTCATAAAGACTTTATTTAAAATAAACATTTATAACTAGTTTAGGTTGTTTGAGAGGTACAGCTACCATTCTTTAATTAGATGTTTGATAAGTGCAGATCACATAGTAAAACACGTACACAGATACATTATTTTGTATTTTTATTAAATTCGACAATGTCAATTTCACTTTCCACTATGTCCACCGTTGTTTTTCACAACCAATGGCAGAACGTTATTGAGGCCTGTAATTAGTCAACTACAGGTCTCTTGGGTCAGTCTTTTTCTTCCAAAAAGCTTGTGACAAGATGTTATTGCTCTTGGGGCATTAAAAACAAGATTTTAACTTTAGTTTTTTATATAATATCTGCATTTTCTATTGTGAAAAACTAAGTCTTAGTTATTTAATATATAGCGCCATCTCCTGGTTAAACCCTGAAATTGGAGAATAGTGGGAGAGCCTAACATTCCTGGATACTGGTCTTTGGCAGGTCTTAGGCAGGTAACTGGCTGGCAGTAGGCAGGAAGCTGTATGCTGGCGTCCAAAATAAGAGGCTCCATCTGTACATTTAGTCTGCAGTCATAAAAGTTGACTGTTTCTTCAAATATATTTGTTAGATATCCACTGTTAGTTGTTAAAGTAAATGTATGTTGTCTTTAGTAAATGCTCACATCTGAATAAAGAAGTTCATCTGAACTAATATTAGTTTTACATTGATCTCTGAAGCATACATGTTTTTCTTGCTTCCCATTGATTTCAATGTTTTCACAGATAATAAACAGTAGGCTGATATTATGATGATCCACAATAACAGAATGACAGTCACTGTAATTCAGGGAAAAGCTCATTGATTAGGAGACAGGAATGTTGAGCTACACTTAATAAACCTGAACATCTGATTGGATTATAAACACATTTTCATCCTCATCATGTGTTCTTTATTCAGACTGAGGGGCTGCAGGTTGTCAAAGATCAGCTGTTCTGCTCTGATATCAGCTCTGAAGTCCAACATCCATCTGAGAGATCTGGACCTGGGTCTCAACGATCTGCAGGATTCAGGAGTGGAGCTGCTGAGAGATCTTCTGGAGAGTTCAGACTGCAGACTGGAGACTCTCAGGTCAGTTCTCCATCTGTAACGTGTGTGCTGAGATGTGTTGACTCTGACCTGCAGACATCAGGCTGATATCACACTGATCCTCACTGAGCATCTTAATGCTAGAGTTGCATAATGCAATGTTGATCTTTACATTTAAATATAACAACAAAAAACCTTCACTGCAGAATTCCCTCTGAACCTTTAAACAGCTGAAATTCATCTTGTATTCTCCATCATGATTTTAACAAATGATATCAAATACATTAATTAAATCATTCTATTAAAACTATCCAACACTAACAAGTATGTTCAGTTGTTGCTGTTTCCAACATGTTCCTGAAGCTACGTGATGCTCATACTGACTGAATAGTTTACTCTGAAGATGCTGTGATTTGATGACTCCACTGTTCCTAAAATACATATTCTGGATGTTTTTCTTCACATTTAAAATTCATCCTGAATTGTGATCTTTGTAAATGTTGTGATCTTGAGTTGAATCAGTTTCTGTGGTTTGTATTTGTCTGGCTGCACATCATGAGTTAGTGTAGATGGAGCAGAGCTTCAGATGTGAAGTCTCCTCGTTTTATTGAAGTAGAAGCACGTTGTCTTTAATATTAATGAGAGCTCTTTTCCTCTTTCTGTATCTTACAGTTTTTAACCTGTTTGGAGTTTCCACTTTCTGACCTTCTTCAGCTCTGAGCAGATTATTAAACCTTGAGTTATTTCAAACAGGAACATTGTTTTCTAAAGTTACATCATGTTTTCTTTATTCAGACTGAGGTACTGCAGCTTGTCAGAGATCAGCTGTTCTGCTCTGGCCTCAGCTCTGAAGTCCAACATCCATCTGAGAGATCTGGACCTGAGTAACAACGCTCTGCAGGATTCAGGAGTGGAGCTGCTGAGAGATCTTCTGGAGAGTCCAGACTGCAGACTGGAGACTCTCAGGTCAGTAAGGGGTCTCTGCTGGTTCAGCAGTATTGTATTAAACACAGGGAGGTGTTTCTCTCTCTGGGGAATCACAACAGATCAGTGATGTTACCCACTGAATGCAGGCTCTTTCATTCTTCCATAAACTATAAACTATAAGCTGAAAATGCAAAGCCACATTTAGTTAGTTCAGCATTTCTCAAAGTGTGGGGCGCAGAGATGTGATAGGTGGGTCGCGGACGCGATGAACGGGAGATTTTTTATTTTTTTAAAATACATTTTTTGGACCTCAGGCCGGAATCGAACCTGGGTCCTCGCGGGCGGTAGTGGACTGTTACAGCCGGAGACTCGCAACGGCGGTGGACTTTCACAGCGCCGCTGCGCCGGCGGATGCGGTACCGGCGGATGCGGTACCGGCGCAGCGGCGCTGTGAAAGTCCACGGCCCACCTATGCCAGAGGTGGGCAGCCGAAGGCAGCAGCCCACCAACGGCAGCGGCCCACCGGGAAAAGTCCCGAGTCTCCCGATGGCCAATCCGAGCCTGCTCCCACACACACAACTGAAACCAAAATCATTTACAGACATATGTAAAAATCTCTCATACACACATGTGAAACGCTCTCACACACACACACACACAACAGCGTTGCAGTCGGGAAGAAAAGCTATGTGGAGCGGCATCTCTTCATCAGGAGTTTAACCGTGACACTTTTCGAAATCCCGTTTGTGTCCCCCCACTTTACAAATAGGCCTATGTTTATTATTATTTTTTAACGCAAGCAGTCATCGCCACGGAGGAGCACACAGCCTCTGTGAGCGAGCGAGACAGAGAGAGAGAGAGAGAGCTAGAGAGAGCACACCTTTATCTATTTAATATAGCCTAGTTGTACAAAATAAAGTAAGAAATCATTCCAATGTGTACTATAGGACAGTAAAAAAAAAAACGGTTTAAAAGGGGACTGATTAGTAAAATATGCATAAGTGAAAAGAAAGAATGCTAACTAGGTAACATAAGATAAGAATAAACTAGTTTAAATGATTTGTTATTGGTTGTGATCATATTCTAAAGATGTTTGGATTATTGAAAAGTATACAGCTCCCTTTCATAGAGTGTTGAGAGCTGTATCCATCAATTCATGTTGTGCTCAAAGTGCACCAGATTGATGCATTTAACTTCAACATTTAAAAAAACATCTTCCCGGGGGTGCATGCCCCCGGGCCCCCCTAGAGGAGGTGAGGACCCCCCTAGAGGAGGAGAGGCCCACCCCCAAATAAAGCAGCTTAAAATAATTAAATTGCATACATGTTATTTTAGTAAACACTGAAAACGGGTCCCACAGACCCAAACAGCACACAAAGGTTAAAGGTCAGCATATAATGATGTTAAAATGTGCTAAATATATACAATGCAAAAAAAAGAGGAGTAAAAGTAGCTCACGACTTTTATTTTTTGAAAGTAGCTCTCATCCAAACAAAGGTTGGAGACCCCTGTTATAGAACGATACATTTGACAATTCTAAGCTTGGCCTACCATTTTATTGGAGCGATGAAGAACAGGTGGGGCTTGAAAAGGCCCACCTGTTCAAAGTGGGGAATGACAGAAAAAGTTTGAGAACCACTGAGTTAGTTTCTAACAGAAATATAGGATTTTACAGAAGAGTGGAAAAGGTTTTCTCTTTTGTTTCCTGTCATGTTTTTAGTTTCTAGCCTAATGAGCAGTTACTTCCTGTGATGCAGCTGAGAGCTGTGGCAGTCAGTCGTAGTGTTTGCAGAGAAGATATGATGGGATGTAAAGCATGAGTACAGTCGGGACTCTGAAGCTGACTAACTCGAAGAACAAACACTTATTTTAAACTTTATCCTAAATTGTTGGATTGTGTTCATCCCTGCAGCATCGATGGTGAGACGTTCACAGCCAAGATCCAGAAGACCTGTGAGTACTGAAACGGGGGGTTACGTATTGTAACCCTAGTTATATAAACACAGGCGGAGCCCTCTACTGGACTCTATGGGTACTACCTTATCCCGCGTGCATTCTCCCACTGAGACTTCTATAGACGTAGCCGGCCCAGGGCGGGCCTACCTGAATGCGCGCGCATCACACCGTATAAAAGGAGGCCTCGCCTCCTGACTGCCATCCTATACCTCTCTTCAGCGAGCGGAACAGGACAGACAGTGCCCTGAGTAGAGGGCTCCGCCTGTGTTTATATAACTAAGGTTACAATACGTAACCCCCCGTTATATCTCTCACAGGCTCCGCCCTCTACTGGACTCTATGGGTACAGTGGGTGGAGCCCTGATGTATACGCGCACTGTCGTCCAACACCAATCCACCCTACTGCCCCTGACCGGCTTTTCTGGTCAGCAGCTGCTGCCCCACCCTCTCCTTTAACCCGGTTGTGACCGAGGAGAAATCTGGGCTGCGGCTGACAGAGCACACCCTGCTGCGCTTACCTCGCAGAAAGTGTGCTCAAAAAACAGTGCCGGGGGACCCCCCCCCACCGCCCCTAGACGGATGGGGAGAGCCCCCTCGGCGCCGTATGGGCTTACTACGCACCTGCCTTCCTGAATCCCTAAGGATTCAGCGCTGGCGCTCTGCCAGCACCCATGCCTCACGCTCAAGCACTGACCCCATGCAGAGTGTGAGAGGACTAAAAATGTGGGGGGGCAGCCCCTCCGCCCGTAACGGGCCAGCGCGCCCCTTGCCTATCCCGGGACCCTCAGAGGGCCCAGGAAAGGCGAAGGCGCATCACGTCCGGGGAGGGGGTCAGATGCCAACTGACCCACAACCCCCCCCTCCCCTACAAATCCTGTGTTGCCCCAGCAAGCACAGACGAGGAGAAAGAGCCAGACATGTCCAAGAGATAAAACCTTATAAAGGGGCCTGGCGTCGACCAAGACGCCGCTGTGCATATATCCTCCACACTCACACCGTTGAATAAGGCTGTTGATACAGCTACAGCCCGTGTGGAGTGCGCACAAATCCCCGTGGGGCAGGCTCTCCCTGCCTGTCCGTAGGCATGTGCAATGCACTCGCAGAGCCAGCCTGCCAGGCGTTTCTTGGACAGAGCTTTCCCGATCACCCCGCCCCCGAAGCACACGAACAGCTGTTCGGTGCGTCTAAGGGCAGCCGTGAGCTCCACATAACATGCTAGCGCACGCACCGGGCAGAGGAGGTGCAGTTTAGCCTCCCTGGCCCCCCATGGGGGGGAGACTAAAACCCCCTAACTGAATAGCCCTCGACCTGAACGCACTCCTTAGGTCTTTAGGCACAAAGGAGGGGTTCGGTCTAAGTGTCGCGCCGCTCCGGCCACCCCGAACTAGTAAACAACTCGGGTGCACCGACAGAGCAGTTAACTCGGACACTCTTTTGGCTGACATTAAGGCAAGAAGCAAAGCTGTTTTCCACGACAATGCTTTCAGAGGGGAGAGCTCCAGAGGCTCAATGGTGGGTGACATGGGGGCTCCGAGGAGATCTTCTCGGTCCTTCTTAGATAGGGCCGTGAGCCCTGGCCACACGTGACGAGACGCCTCTGTGGCCAGGGAAATCACCGCCCTGCTGCGGTGGCTGTGGCCACGCCATAAATCAGATTACTCATCTGACTAACAGCGTGGTCCGAATAATTGCTCTCGTCCTGAGACGGGAGGGCGGGGACGTCTGCCTGAGGGTGATCGGGAAGACGCCAACACGCCAAGATTATCGGCCGCAGCCGCCATCTGCGTACCGAGCTTGAACAACTTATCCAGATATTCCAGGTGTCTCGGTCCCGGGGCAGCGGGGCAGAGGACGTTTACCCTCCGCCCAACCAGCCGCGGAAGCAGATGAGCCGCCAGGCTCTCATCGAGGGGGGGGGGCACACCTGGACATGTCGTGTCCGAGCGATCCACCACCTTAATGATACCCGCCATGGCGGCTACCGGGGCCTTCGTTTTTAATGGCTGGTGCCATGTCGCCTCCACACACCGCCATACCTCTGGCAGCTGGGGCGAAACGAAGGTCGGCTGCGCAGGATGCACCGGGCCATAAACCCCTGATCTCAGGCGGTTTACAGGCCTCAGTGGCAGCGGTGGGGGCAGCGGTAAACCTACGCGCTCCGCCGCCAGAGTCATCACCGCCGGGAAATCCATCCGCACAGAGCTGAGAGTTGGACCTCCGGATAGCGAGGCGTCCTCGTCGTCGATCATCGGAACCGGGACCGTCTGGCCCCACGGCAGGGAGAACCGGAACGATGTCCCCTCGCTTCCCGAATCGCCCATGTCCACGACGTCGAGATCCAGCTCCTCCGACTCCTCCTGCGGGGCAATCTTCTCCAGGAAGTGCTGCCCACGATGCTCCCTCGTGCGCCGCGGGATCGCCTGGCAGGCCGAGCACGCCGGCGTCGAGCCCATACCGTTCATAATGTGGTCGGGCCCCAAACACGTGAGGCAGAGGGGGTGCGGATCGGCTCCCGAAATCAGGTTCGGACAATTCGGGCAGGTCCTATGGTCCAGTACTGGCTCCATACTCTCTCTCTATCACTTTCACTTCAATACGTCTTACGTCTTCTGTGGAATCACTTCCGCTTAGCTGAAGAGAAAAAGGATGGCAGTCAGGAGGCGAGGCCTCCTTTTATACGGTGTGATGCGCGCGCATTCAGGTAGGCCCGCCCTGGGCCGGCTACGTCTATAGAAGTCTCAGTGGGTGAATGCACGCGGGATAAGGTAGTACCTATAGAGTCCAGTAGAGGGCGGAGCCTGTGAGAGATATAACCATATCCTCCATTCATCAAAATATTGTACATTAAATCTGATCTTAAAAGATAGTTATAGTACAAGAATTATTATTATTGTTTTATTATTATTTTTCTCTGTCACCACCTCTCTCCATCAGGTGACTCCGATGTGGAACAGGAAGTGAAGACAGACAGCAAGGTGAGAGAGGAGCAGTTGTACAGAGTGAAGTATATTTATTTCACCACTGAATGAAATATAATTATTAGGGCTGTCAAGTTAAATGCACTAACGCTCGCAATTTATCTAGAAACCTAAACAATATCCCGCCCCAATGTGCTGTGATTGGCTGTTACTGTGATTGGCTGGTAATACTGTGCTGTGATTGGCTGGTACTACTGTGCTGTGATTGGCTGGTAATACTGTGCTGTGATTGGCTGGTACTGCTGTTACATGTTAACCCGTTAATAACCCGTTTGAAATTGACAATGAACTCAGATGATCCAGACTCATTTGCATTTTTCAAATTGGTCTGAATATGTTGTGGAATTGTGGTTTGGTTTCATGAAGCTAGAATTTAACTTGATTTCTATTAAAATAACTAACTTTGTTTGTTCCAGGCTCCTGAATCCTTCTCACCTGAACACACAACTGAGTCTTCATACAGGTAATCCTATAACATGACCAAACATTATTTTAAACACATGAAAAATATATATTCATTTAATTGTGTTTGATTTCATGTCTTTCACCTTGAGGTATTGCATCCAATCTCTTTCCAACAGACGTTAATAAAATAATGCCTCTGTGTGTAGGAAGGATTGTTTTCTTGTTCCAGTCTAGATCCTCGCTGGACTAGACATTTTGTTAATTTAATTTAATGTGTTTACACACACATTCTGATGCATGTGGACACATCTTCAGTGATGTTCCTGTAATCATCAGGTGTTTCAGATCTTTCAACAAACCCTCCTCCAGGTCAGACTCCAGCTGGATGAACACCTGTCAGTCAGAACACAGGCCAGTGAAGGCTTGTTGTAGTAACCTTGTCCCCTGTGTGTCTACAGGTTCAGGTGTCCTGGTCCAGGTGAGTTCCAGTGTGATTCGACTGGCCTGGTGTTCGTCATGGCTCAGGAGGCGGAGCTTCTGTACAGGACGGTCCCTTGGGATGAGAGCTTCCTCCAATCAGCTGGCAAGCAGGCAGCAGGGCCGCTGTTCAACGTGAAGAGTTCTGATGAAGCTGCCGTCTGCCAGCTCCACCTGCCACACAGTGAGACAGAGGATGGTAAAGACATCTAGTGTTAACAAATACACTTATATAATGATTAGCACGTTATACTATTCACTAGCGTTCAAGAGTTATAAAGCAGCTTTATTAAACTAGTTTAACAAATATAGCAACAGTATAATTCAGGCACCAAATCTGTTTCAAAAGAAGAAGAATTAAATTATTAAAACATCCATTTACCGTAGTCGATGTGTTGCATGACATCATTATTGAAGCATACGATGCAATGCAGCTCTAAATACTGAGTTAGTTTTTCTTTGAGCCCTCTGCAGTCTCCTCACTGTAATATTAAAGAGATTTAAACTGTGATTGGTCAGTCCACAGCATGCTCAGCTGCTAACAGTGCTAACTCAACGCAAACTCTCTGTTACTGTTGTGATGCTAAGCTAGCAGTTTGATTCATTCTTACTTTGTTATTCATCTGTTGCTCTTTCTGCTCTTTACATTGTCAGTCTAGCTGAACCATGTACAAAACAAAACAACAGACAACAACATTTATAAGTTAGACTTTCTACGCCCTAAAAGCTTTAGAAAACTCTTCACACATCTAGAGAATCACTCAGACATGAGACCGGACACAGTCAAGCTGTTCTGGCAGCAGATTACAAACATTTCAGCAGTCTTGTGGATAAAAAAGAATGAATAAAGTTGATGCATAACAGCAAATGCTCACATCCAGAAAGATCACAGGGGACAGATCAATGATTAAACATTAGAATAAAAGGTGAAGGATATAAACTGATACATCCTAGTGAGGCTCCAAAGTGAATGACATTAGATGAACATTAGCTCTGAACTAAAGTGGTGTGACATTGAATATGATGAAGCTGTTTCAGCAGCAACGCAACAGATGACCAGCTCTTTGCTCCACAGCGCTGCTCCTGGACGGCCTGTTCTCTGTCGTCCACATCACTGATGAAGGCCTGAGCATCTTGGAGCCGCTGGAGGTCACACGCACTCACGTGGTGGTGAAGGTGCCTCACCTCTCTCTCTTTGGCCTGGTCTGGGATGTCATTAAAAGGTGTCTGCTTCTGCGGGTAAAGGGCAAAATTCTGGTGTTCCTTCGACCCCCAGGTCAGAGAGGAGCAAACACTGGATGTACATCTGCTCCAGAAAAACGTCCCTAAGAAGGAGGTAAGGCCATGTGCTCACCATCAGACTAAACACTGGTTTTAAACCATAGCTGTTTCCACACACACTGCTCCTCTTCTCAAACCTTCTCGTGCTGGGAGAAGAATAAGATCTATCTGAACTGTAAATCTTCAGATCGCTCTTTGTGGTTTTGTATGATTCTCTCTCACCATGTCTTTCTGTCTGCGGAAACTGATGGCATTAATGTTAAACACATCACACAGAGCTGAAAGACCTGCTGAGATGAATCACTGCCAAGACAACGTGATCTCATCCCTACCAGCCACATTTTACAGCTTGGGCAGCAGCCTTTTGTGTTGTGTAACTGACACAGACGCTTTGTGTTCTGGTTAACGTTGGAATAGCTTCTTCAATAGCTTATCTCAAAGAATTACAATAATCTAATTTTAATATTCCTTTCCAAAGGCAATATATACTTATATTTATGTTGTGATTGATTGTATATCTCATCACTTTGTGGAGCAGGTCTGTCAACGTTTGTTGTTGTTTAATGTGATCTTTAAATAAAGTTGCCTTGACTATCTGAGCATAACTAAAGTTACTCTGTTACTGAAGGTTGCTGATCAACACAAACGTACTGAGAACATCACAATCTCCACCGGCTGTGAGCTGGAACTGTTTAAAGATTACAGTGTGTACTGTGAACCTGAGGGCTTCTACATTCAGCCTGAGGTGAGTCACTGATACCCCTCTAAAGAAACACAATGATCATTAACACACATTTATCTGCATGTGGATCCACAATCAGGAAAGAAACAGATACACTTTTAACTTCTGCTTCTGGTTTTCAGAGTAAAACATTTGAATCAAATTTTGGACCAGATTACGATCCGACATTTCAAGTTTCCCTGAAGACGAGCACAGAGAGAGTGGATTTGAGGGTCAAGGACCAAGGTGGAAACGTAGTCTGGAGTTATCTCGTGTCACTGGAAGGTAAAGACTCCACCTGAGCTCAGACCCAGTGATCGACTGATAACTCTAAAGCTCCATCTCATAGCCTTCTCTATTAACCTGTTAAGCCCGAGAGACCCCGGTACCGGGGCACTCCCGCAACATCTTGCAGGAAACAGTGTCTGAGGGCATGTTCATTTAATAAACTATGAATGTTTTATATCCATGTAACGGGAAGAAACTCATCTAACTGATCATTTTTATTTATTTTTCAAAATAAAACCCACAATGCTAACGCTGAGCCTCTGAATTAGCAACGAGCGAAAAATGCTAACAGATTACTGCACCGAAATTCACTCACAAAACCATATTATTTATCTTTTCTGCACATCCATGAGATCGTTTCACCTCGTGAGGTGACACAGAATCGAAGGGTACCCTCATTATCACTCAATTATACGAAATCGCGACTTTATAAACAAAAACAGACATCAAAACATGTGGCGCTAGGTAGCTAAAAATGCTAACATTGTTTACCTTGTGTCGTAGTCTGGTCACAAGTGGTCTTCAATGGCATTAAAACAATAAAAACGCTGCTGAAGTTAATCCATAGGTTAATCCAATGTGTCTGTGTCCCTTTGAAATGATTTCTGATAATCCATGAGCAATAAAACTGCTTTTCCGTTTCCAGATGTCAGAGCTAGAGTGTAGGTTCGCTCTGATGCAAAACTACATGCCCCCACTTTTTGTTGTACCATGTTAGTGAGAGGGGAGATTCCCCTTTGATTCTATTGGCTCTAACGGTCATAAAGAGATGTCAATCACCAATATCGACCAATGGGTTCCAGAGAAACGGTAAAAAAAAAAACATTTCCACCCAAATCACCTCAGAGGTGGGGTGGTTTTGGCTAAACCTCTCTAAAAAGGTCAAATGTCACTTGTTTTGCATCAATCTTGATACAGGGTACTTATTATATGTTGTACTTTGGATTCCTAAAGCTTTTAGTCTACTAACCCATCATCCAAGCGTAGTTTTCACTATAAGTAAAAAAGAATTTTTGGACGGACACTATAATTTACAGTTTTTTACTATGTTCAATCTGAATTTTCTTTAAAATAAAAAACATCTAAGTGGATTACAGCATTACAGGAGACCGTGATGAAACGTACTGTTACCTTTAAAATTACACATCTCTCCCAACCATTTGAGATAATCTATGTACACACCTCAAGCAAGTATACATATTACAGGTGTACAGTAGGAGTTTTTATACATTTGAATGAGGGTTATATATTATAACTTTAAGTGAACAGAAATCCACCTCTGGCAATGTCGAGTTACTTGAATTTTTAAGAGATCTGTTTAATGTGATTGTTGGTTAACAAAAGTATTTTCCCTGTTTATCCACCAGGTCCAAGACATGCATTGTACCAGAAAAATGTCCCAGCAGAGAGCAGAGTCTCGGCAGAGAGCAGAGTCCCAGCAGAGAGCAGAGTCTCAGCAGAGAGCAGAGTCCCAGCAGAGAGCAGAGTCTCAGCAGAGAACAGAGTCCCAGCAGAGAGCAGAGTCCCAGCAGAGAGCAGAGTCCCAGCAGAGAGCAGAGTCCCAGCAGAGAGCAGAGTCTCAGCAGAGAGCAGAGTCTCAGCAGAGAGCAGAGTCCCAGCAGAGAGCAGAGTCCCAGCAGACCAGAGGCTGCTCTCAGTTCGGACAGAGTTCATTAGAGGAGTGACTCCACCTGTCCTGAACGACCTTCTGGATAAACTCTTTGAGTCTGAAGTGATCAGTGAATCTGAAATGACGTCAGCCAGAACCAAACCCAAAAATGACGGAGCACGAGAGGTGGTGGACGCGGTGCGAAATAAAGGAGCTGCAGCCAGCAGGGTTCTGATCAATGCTCTCCGAGAGCTGGACCCGTATCTTTACAGAAAGCTCAACTTGAGCTGAGGCTAAACCTCGTGGAGTGTGTGTGACAGTTGAAGTCTAGTCCTCTGTTTTGTTACCTGTACATGTTTCCCCTTGTCCTTGAAGGTAGCACAGATTCTGAGCGAAGGCTACTTTCCTTCTCTCTTTTCTCCTGGACTCCCTCCTGAGAGCAGCTAACCGTATTGGCCTTCCTTTGGTGTATATATATATATATATATATATATTTATATATATCTTCTGTCTCCCACCACCTCCACAGTGTGGACTCCTGTCTCCCACCTCCTCCACAGTGTCCAGAGGACTCCCCAGGACAGAGCTTCCTTACCAGTCTGTTCAGTCTCTTCCTGTCAGCAGCTGAGATGCTGCTGCCCCAGCAGGACACACCATAGAAAATGGCTGATGCCAAAACAGAGTCATAAAATGTGTGAAGGAGTGCCCCCTGCACCCCGAAAGACCTCAGTCTCCTCAGCAGAAAGAGTCTGCTCTGTCTGCTCTGTCTCTTCTTGTACATAGCAGCAGAATGATCACTCCAGTCCAGTTTATTGTTCAGATGAACACCCAGGTATTTGTAAGATTTCAAGATCTCAATGTCCCCTCCCTGGATGTTCACTGGTGTCGGGGGGGGAGTGTTGGCGCCGTCTGAAATCCACCACCAGCTCCTTGGTCTTCCCTGCGTTGAGCTGGAGGTGGTTCCTCTGGCACCAGAGGGTGAAGTCCTGCGTCAGCTCCCTGTACTCCCTGTCGTCCTCGTTGGAGATGAGGCCAACGATGGCGGAGTCGTCAGAGAACTTCTGCAGGTGACAGGTTGCAGTGTTGTGGGTGAAGTCTGCAGTGTAGAGGGTGAAGAGAAACGGTCCAGCACCGTCCCCTGGGGGGCCCCCGCACTGCTTACAATGAAAAGAAAAAAAGACAACTTGATAAATTATATATTTTTTTCACACATTATATTTCCATTCAAGATTTTAAGGTTTTATTGTCATTGTCATATTTTTGTGTCATGTTATTAATACAGTATAAACAGATTAGTAACAAACCACACAAAGATTGAAGTTAAAGACTTATTTAATGTGCATCTGGAAAGCTTTGCTATTCTCTTACAGTACTTTACAATATTTCAAAAGGTCACGTTTTAATACAAAGTCAAACAAAAACAATAATATAAACTGGCTAATAGTTCTGATTCCAGCTAATCAATAACAATTAGATTCAAGAGAGGATTTCTGTGTGAGGGTGAAGGTTTAGAAACTTATCATCTGAGAATAGGAGGCGTTGTTCTGATAAATAACGTGAGGAATATTAACAATAAACACACAGATCGAGGCACTTGCTGAATCCATCGTTTTCTGACACACATTTCTTCGTACACACTTATAATAACAAGCTATAAATAATCATAAACAATGAACAGTGCAACAATTCTCTATGTGTTAAAAAAAGGAATGGAAATATAGAATGAATACTGTGGCGCTGATCTTGTTTATAAAATATATGAATTCTAGACGCCCGTATACAAGATGGCGCTGTGACTTCCCGATATCCGCCATTTTGGAGAGCTATGTATGGCAACCCAAGTAGGACATTTGACACAGAAGCGTTTCACAAAGAAGAGAAAAAAAACTCCAAAATCCCGGCAACCTAATTATTTTTATTGCAACGTAATTTCCCGATTATTTGAGAGATTAACTCCTTTTAGTGGGTTGAGTAAATTCAATCATTTATGGCATTAATAATGTATATCTAATTCTTAACTGTGAATGTCTTTCATTTTATGTAAAATCAGAAATGTTTTAGTCCGGCCAAAATGTTCTCTTTTCCTGGAAAAAAGGGAAATGACATAAAATATTTTCCATTAAAAAGTTCATTCAAGACAAAAACTCTGTTATTAAAACTGTATTTTTCTTAAAAGACAATTATTATTAAATCTGAAAGGTCTTTCCCAGCTTTGTAATTTCTCTGTTATCGTATTTCTTATCGTTTATAAGTTTATGGCAGACCAACACATTCTTGCGCAGTGCAACTCAGGCAGTCGTCTGGACGTCAAATGTCCTATGTGGGTTGCCGTACGTAACTGTCCAATATGGGGGGTATGACTACCAGAAAATTAAGTTATAACAAAGCAGAGGTGTGGACTCGAGTCACATGACTTGGACTCGAGTCAGACTCGAGT